TCTTACCATAGTGGTACCTTCGCTTACTGATCTCGCACTTAATACGTCCATCAGGTGAAGGATGATAGCCAGCTGCTCGCCCACCGAATAATCCTAGCAGCCCGCGTACCCTTTTTGCGGACAAAACTCCGTGGCCCCTCCAGCGAGGAGAATTCTGTCCTCCCATGGCGGACAGTGCCTCTAAGGTAACATTCCTAGCATCGTGCTTACTGCTCATGCATATTCTAGCATTGCATCAGTGTTTCTCAATTATGTTTATACGGGGCAAGTAGAGATGTCACAGGATAATGCAAGAGGCATAGTAGCACTTGCAAGAATGCTGCAACTCTCCCACCTCGAGGAATGGGGGCTACATTTTATTGACAGCAAGTACATAGTCCCCGATTATTTCTGTCTAACCATCTGCTCGTTAGTATCACCCTAGAAAACTTGGCGACAATATGGGACTTTGCCCAATCCCTGAACATTGAATCGCTATTGGAAACTTGCATCCATGTGATGCAAACACAATTTAATAGTTTCGTTTCCAGTAACCTTTTTGTTCGGTTGCCGGCGGATACGATTCTGAAATTACTTCGAGACGACAATTTGTTGGTGAACTCTGAGGAGGACGTTTTTGCAGCCATCGCATGTTGGGTTGGCCCTGGAAGAGAGGATGTTAACGACAGGCTAAAACAGGACGCTCCGGTGATGCTTAAAGAGGTGCGCTGGCTCCAAACGACTGGCTCATTCCGCAATCAACTGCTCGAGACCCATCCAATGTTTCAAGATAGTGCCAGATGTGCGTAAGTATATACCATTCAATTTGGTTATTTGCTCATGGAAGTCGGTTCTTGGGTTTAGTTGAACAGTGGATCGCTGCGGCGGATATAAACAAGCCTTCCTGTCCCTTCAATAGTCAGAGGAGACTGCCTCAGGCTTCCGCGGTAAGTAGCTTGAAGCACCATGATAAGCGTGTTTTTGTTTTCTTAAATTGAGATACCTGTTTGCCCAGTTGCCGAGCTATAGGACACTGCCCTTGATAGGACTTTCCCACATTATGCACG